CACACACACACACACACACACACACATACATACACACACATAATATACATACGCACAAATACACACACACACACCACGCACACCACGCACACCACACACAAACGGGTTATGTGAACCGCTATGGGATTATGGAAGCAACACAAGTGCAGACAATAATATCGACTTTCGGCGGTATTGAGCGGGTCACAAAAACGCGGGAAAGCAAAAGAGTTGGTTTGGTTGTCTGTCAGCTGACTGGTTGAATGGGGCCCTGGGTTCTGCACAGGGAGAGGCGTGAGCTCGTTCCTTGACTTGACATCCCCGTCTTGTCCCAACCACGGAACGCGTTGTTTGTCAACACGCCAGTAAACAGTTCAACCAACCGAGATCGTACGGTATAATAACATGTTGAACGGTATTATGGTTGTTGATAGTGATTGTTTTCCCCCCTCATCGACACAATTTAGATCATTCAGGAGGCGGGCGACTGTCCCCAAGTCTTTGCGTTTTAGTAAGATTTTTATGGCACTTGCAACACAATAAGGTCATATAAGTGCCGAAGGTTAGAGGTGTTACAAGAGAGTAACAAACACAAAAAAGAAGGAGGGGAGAGAAGGACGAGAGATGTTTCATAGGAAAGAAGTAGCAAACCTCACCAGAGCACCCGCCAACCACTCACGACTTCACCCAGTCTGACACTGAGGAGCCCATTAAGTCGGACTGATTGGGACACACAATCCTAACTGACAGACAGGAGTAATAATATTTACTTGATTAAAAATAAAAACAAAACAAAAACTATAAATTCACACAGAATCGAACTCACATCTACTGCGTTAAACAGCGAAGAGACTAGCCATAACACCACAGAGGTCGGTTGGCACCCTCTTACGGCCGGCGTGGCAAGTCAACATAACGTGAGAAAACACGAAGGTAGACCTTTAACGTTGCCCACAGCTTACGGTTTCTCTTGAAAGCAATCATTAGGATTGCTGATTACACTTGCTTTACGTGCATATCAACACGAATAAGAAAATATTTAAGAGAACAGTTACTTCGACCCGATCTGTTTGAGAGCACAAAAACTGGACTGAGTGGGTTACAACATTCCAGCACCCGACTAAGTCCAGATAAGACAAGACAAATTTAATTTTTTTTTTTTTAAACAACTACCGTCCCTAACAAAGGAATCGAACCTACGTCTACTGAGTACAACAGCGAAGAAACAAACCATTACACCACGGACGCCGATTGACACCCTGCGCCCACCACAACCAAACAGCCGGTGTGTTGAGTCAACAAAAGTGAAAATGCACGTCAGTAGACGGTAAACATTGCCCAGAGCTTGCGGTTTATCTCGAGCCCTAAACATAGCAACTCGGGGTATCTGTTTATTTATCTATATATATTTTTTTATTT